ATTTCAATAATATTATTTATCGATTTAAAATAACCTTTTGCCCACAACCAAAACCAAAAACCGCGCGCTCGTGATCCACACTTGGTCAAAACTCCAGCCCGTTTATAATCAATGCTAACACAATAATATGTAAATGGTTTGTGTGTGTGTGTGTGTATGTGTGTGTGTGTGTGTGTGTGTAGTTGTATAACAATATTATGATGATAGTAAAAACGACCGATGTTGTCCGTGGACCGCATTGCGTCATCAGCGGTGCAATTATGAATATAATTATTATTATCATCGTAATACCTACAGCAACTCGACCGAGTCACACAGCGATGGTTCCCACAACCCGATATACACACACACACTATACATCATAACTTGAAGAAAAACGCATATTTTACACCGTTTCTCCTCGACGCGTATCGCGATGTGTCCGATAAAAAAAAACCGACGGGCCAAACACCGCACGAGCTCGACCATCTCAAGTGTGCAATATGTTTAGAGAGGATAACACCGGTCGATATTTATACATTTATAATATTATAAATTATTATTATACATTATCCTATAAAATTGAATAACACACTCAGTGATCGAATAACAATTATTATGAGCAGTTCGAAGGCGGAGATCGGTGAGGACTGCTGAGAACATATTTTCTCAGACGTTGTATTAAAAGTCAAATTATAATAATACATTTACTTCTAAAAACGGGGTTTGAACAAACAAAAAAACTGCAATCAAATTAAGAATATTAATTATATTCGGCAGAACTATATTATTATGTTACTGGATACATAATAATAAATTCTCGTACCGGATGGAGCTGGAAACTCGTCTAAAACGGAAGGGTTCCCCGCGATTCCGGCCGAATCTGATAGTTTTTAATGTAATGCCTCGTAATAGGTAATTATAGATGTTTATAAATAATTTTAAAATAATAACATACGTTTCAATATTCAATACAAATGGAATAACCTCAATTATTGATCGTCAAAATGTTTGGTGATTTTTTTCTTATACGCAGACATGATTTTTAATAGTCGTAACAATTAATGTGTTACATAACACTCGACAGCTCTATAGACTATAGATACAAGACGAATTCAACACAACGCCGATAAAATAAAAAAGAAGAGGCGTCTACAATAGGGTTACATTTAGGGATAATCAAGAGTCGAATATAAGTATTATTTATATAATTATATAATTATATTATAAAACTGGTAGTTAATATTAAATGAAATTATATTTCTTTCGCAATTATAAATTTACTGTTATTGAAACTCGAAAATGTTACATTACACAATTTAGTGTTTTATATTTTTATATTTTGTGTTATTTTAACTTAATTATTTATTAGGTACCTAACCCGCTAACCCTTTTTATTATTATTCTCTATCAATTATTCCTGCTATTACTAGTGGGTAAATATTATTACTTGGCTTTTATTGAAGTCTTAAAAATCGATGTAACAAAAAACCTGCCGAGGTTGAATGTGTAGATGGGTTTACAATGCAATGTTTTTTACTAAGAGTGTATGAATGTTACATGTTTGCTTGTTTTGCGTATTAAATTATATTCTTCACAAATAAACTAGTTTTTATAGTCGAAGAAATTTTGTATTTTCTACACCTATATACGTATAATGAGCATATTTTACAAGAATGTTTAAAAGAGTTACAATAAATATAAAAAATAATTATAATAGTATAACACTGTATAAGTCATCCAATTTAACATAATTTAATCTATAAAATAATATTATAAAGGTTGCCACAGAAATCCAATAAACTAATAGTAGGTATACCTATTTGCACAGTATGTCATGTTTGGTCTCATCAACAATATTTTTCTAATCCATATTTTTTTTAAATATAATTTTAAGAAATAATTGTTAAATTATATGAGATAGTCACAAATTATTAATATAATTTTTACTTTCTTATGGATAATTAAATAATGTACTATGTAAATAATTCAAAAATTGAATTATTAATAATTAGTATTAAGTTAGCTTAGACACCATATATTATTATCTATTTATTAAGGTTGATATAAGGTATTGTATAAACTGTATGGTTCACTTGCGAGTATGTACGAAAAAAAATTAACTGATACTAATTTGTATAGTATAATTGTATTTCGTGTAATATAATATGCGTAGGTATTAATATATATATTTATACTTGTATAGATATATTAAAATATGACAAATAAGATACAAAATTATACTTTTTACAAACAGTCAAAATTATGATAAACAATAATATTAGTGAACATAATATAATTATAATATTATTGTAATAATTGAGTAGGTAGGTAAGTTATAAAACCAAACACAATAATTATTCAAAGATAAACTTTCGTAATACAAAACAAAAAAAATTAAAACTTAATATTATATTATTATTGTATGAATGTTACAATTGCCGTTGAAATCTAATTAAATTTAAAAATATTTCAACTGTGACTGTCCATTAACTATCAAAAAAATTTAATAAACTAAAATGAAAAAAAAAGTCAATCCCACATTTTTTTCCTCTAACAATTCATATAATTATCATCACCTAATTATTGATGCATCATTCAGTCAGTGGCTCTAAAGTAACAATTCAAACGGTCATAACCACAGAGTTTGTATAGGAGGTCAGTGAGGTCACGCGTAGATTCATTATTATTTTTATTTCCACGGCACTTATTATATAACTGCTGCTGTGGTTAGACAAATGTTTGGAGGACTGCTAGTTACAAATACACATTGCTTTTCGTTTTTCTTTTTGAACTCGCCACCGCCGCTGAATACAAAACATAAACCTTAATGGTAAACTCGTCATAGCGTTTAATAATGATTGCGACGTCTTAGAGTAAGCTCATTTTTAAGCATATTGTGTGTAAATGTCTTTAGTTATGTGATGTGTGTATTTTTTTTTCGATCATTGTGCCAAGGGAGATCGATAATTCAAACGAGTTACTTAACCGTCTGAAGACACGAAGTAACAAATTGATTGAAAATATTTGTTATATCGACAATATTTATACATTTGTTATTCATTTTTTTTTTTTACTTGGTTTCGACTGATACCTTTCGGTATCTGCCTTGTTTTTCAACGGTAGGTATTGTTTATAAAATTATAAATATATAAAAAAAAATTGATTTTATATTATTGTATGATAATATAAGACATAGATACATATAATTTATTATTATTATTATTACTATTATTATACACTATATCGAATACGCGAATACGTTTCGGTATCAATCATGGACAGAGCTTGTTAAATTCTAATTCGACCAAACCCGTCATTCACCAATTTGCCACTAAAAATTTGTATCATTCGGGTCAACAATTATACTAGCATCTAATACACATTTAGTATAATCTATCTGACAACCATATTGATATAGTCAGACATTTCTTCAATGAAGATAGACACGCCGCTATATGTCAGTCGTCGAATCGTAATTGATATTCCACTCGTGACGCACAGAAAGATCTGGCGTGAAAGACTTGAGATTATTACATTATACTTGCCTTCCACTAGCAAACCACATAATGATATGTAGGAATGATGGGGATTCACCTTTGAGAACGTTGTGCAATCCAATTTGCCCACGGAACCCAGACAAAAAAAAAAATTCTTGTATTGTATTTAGGTACTTGCAGCGTCGACTTATMAAAAAAAAAATCTGCGTCGAAAAAATATTGTTCGATTCGGTTATCCAAAAAATATTTTCCAGTTGCTAAAATCTGATATTTTATTCAAATTTACCGTATATTATGTATATTGCAGTTATTATATAATATATTATAATAATAATATTAACACTTGCGTCGTTCTGTGGCCAAAACGGGTTCGTTTCATTCACCTGTAATTCACGTGAATAAACAAGTACTTACCTGTATAAGTATTTATAAATATTTTAATGCAACAATATTTACTATTATATATATACAGTTATAATTGTATATACCTAACTATACAGCGTTACGAGTCAATAAAACGTAGTTTTATAATTTATCATTAATAGCTCACTCATATTGCCTCATTTGGGTACCTACGGAAATTGAAAATAATGTTGAAATGTTTAATTGGGTTGTATTTATCAAATTAGATTGAATTCACATATTTCGTGCTTCAGTCATGACTATTCAATTATTTATATTCATCAATCGAATTCTTCAACCGTCAATTAACCACTCATTAATAAAATGGCTGAATTAAGCGATCAACTGTAAGTTATGCACAACTTTCACAACTATAATATAATGGTACCTAATTTAATCATTTAACCAACAATAATCATCATTTAGGATTTAACGAATGGCTTTTTCTTTCAATAATTTGTAAGCATATTTTAAATATGCTATTAATTTCTTATCAAAATTACATCATGTTTATCATACATCCATCCAATAACCGTAATGCCGAATGTTGTGTAACGCATTTCATAAGTAAATATTACTATATTAGTGACAACAATAAAATATTATCAAGATTTAATTTACAGTGGCATAACAGCTGYTTAAATTAAAATAAACTTTCTCCTAAAAAAATCCTTTATTAATTAATTTTGAATCTATACATGTATCATTTTTTTTTCACTGCGTTTGACCTTTTAACCGAACTTTGGGGGGAAAAGTATTCCCAAAGGATGTGCATGAATACTTTTAAGCTATACGTTTTGATCGTTTCGTACATATCTTTATTTTGATTCCAATATCTCGTTTTAAATTTCTGCTTATTTTAAAAATAACCAGAACCCATATCACCGTGCGCATATTTATACAACTATATTGGTTTTTGAGATTTGCATCAAATACATATAATATATTTATATATATGATGACAACGAAAAAAAACTTACAAGAGAACATAATATTATATTCAATTGAAACTCGATGACAATAATTCAATTTAAAAAAAAATATATTTGACATTATTAAACTAACCAACCAATAACATCGACAATTGAATAATATTATAATATTCATATCATCCAGACGCTTACTGTACGTGTTTAATGTTACGGYCGACGGTGAACTTTTGGATCGAAGTCGATGTAGTAACATTTTTAATGTTTACGTATCTGTCTGCAGGGTTTAACAAACGTTTTGGTCGACAATGCTGAGATCCAAACACGTGTATGCATAGTATGCACATGAGTGCGGTTGAAAAAATATTTACCCAAAAATACAACTATCATGGATCCGTACGTTTATTTATATAACGCATATAACGCACTGGTTCACCTGATTCGGTTGTCTTCTCATTGTCATTCTAGAAAATGATAATATACGCTATAAGTATACCTATCAATATATCAACAATAATATATATTGAAATTGTACCAATAAAGCGTCGAAGCACAAAAGTGAACTGAAACGCTGAATGCTGCAGTTGGACGTGGTTATTATAATATGTATATTGTATATATATATATAGTACGTCTAATGCATATCGAATTCGGCAGTGAGTTTTTTCGATATGCACCGATGGTGCTTTTTCGCCAATTCCTCCAGGTAAACGGCATGGTCAGTTAGACGRAAATCGCAGAAATCACCCTAAAAAATACCAATGTACGATGTAATAGTAGCKAGTTGTCATGGTCATTTAAATGTTAATTATCTGTTGTAAGGGATTTGTTTTTTAAATTTGTTTAGAGTCTAAAATATATGTAATGAAATATCATATAATATTCATGTACCTATACATTATGCATTTAAATACATTTAACTCGATTTTCAGTAATATTTTTCATTATCATGAATATTTGGTATATTAATAATTATGGAGTTTTATATAAAACTCAAATGTTGACCTTTGGCCTTCTCTCTTCATTAACTACGCAACCACATTTATATATATATATATATATATATTTATTTATTTATAACTTTACTTGGAAAACAGTATCATGAAACCGGCCCTGGTTGAACGCCTCCAACCACCTGCGCTTTTGAGCCATGGCCAGACAGACGAAAAAGAACGCTTGGTAGTCGATCGAGCTCACGACGATCAGACACAGCCAACGGCAAATTTCGGGCCAGCTTAGGCGGCCCCAAAAACAATCAGATGCCCAGCCGGAACACAGAAGCCACCACGAGACGCCAGACATCTGTAAAAATATATGATTTTTAATTTGACATTATTTATAAGTTATAATATAATATTATGTGATATGAGCGATGATGGCATTAACACACTCGGTGGATCGGTACAGCCGACATAATTATTATATTATCATAATATTATRTATATTGTATATAAATATATAATGTATATAGCATGTACCTATTGTACCTTTATACACGAACGMTGATAATCGTGTATCACTTATTACGAGGGCAAAACGCACAACAAGACCACATAATTTCAGTTTGAAAAAAAATCATCATCAAAGGTTAAACGTCCCATTGTTTGATTCGACCTCCCAAAGTCGCCATCATAATAATAGTATAGTCTTTTTAATTTCTATTCCCCTACGCGATTTCATRACATAAAAAAATATGTAAAAAATCACTAATTAAGCTCATACAACTACGTCGTTGTAGTATGTATTCTTATCGAGCCAAATTAACTTTTAAATTATGACATTGTAACGCCCACGCAATAAATTTATACCTAAAGTATAATAATATACTTACTATAGATAGTAATAATGATAACAAAATGCACTTGGATTCTAATTATAGGTCACAGCGTTGATGTATCGTATGTCTCAAATAAGTTGATAATATATATATATATATATATATATTAAATTCCAACAATTTAAGTCATCATTACGTGTGTTGCAAGATTTATATGAATATGAATACTTAAACACAATAGTATTTAATTTATAAGCGCGCTACTGCATAAAATGTTTTGAGTAATTAAAAAGTAATTACGCCAATGCGATTAAACACTGTTTACATTAATGTCATGATATAAACAAATACCTATTATTTAAAATTTAAAGTATCGATATTATTCTTAAGTAATATGAATACAATTATCGAAAACCTTTTAAGATGATTATTTTATATTTGCGCCAAAATATGACTTAAGGCTTGATAGAGCATMAAAATTGATAAATTCGATAATTGGTAAACTGTTAAATATTACGTACTTGATGGAAATAAATCGAATACTAAATAAATAAATAAATCGAATACTCGAATATGCTTTAAAAACAATGTCATACATAAATAACTTATGTATATCATAATTATTATAATTATAATATCAGTTCAAAAAATGAGTACGTAAAGACCTAATGAATATGGATTTATAAAATGTCATTTGATCTTATAATACTGCAGTGGAGTTAGCCTTGTGTTCACAATAATAGTCGTGTAAATAACGACAACTACATTACTATTATAATACCTCGGATGTAACGTTCCACTTTAATTCATTGGTATGTTTATGGTTTTATGTACACCAGTAAAAAAGTAAATATTTTGTGGAGTAAATTAATAATAATTTTTATGCACTTTGCACTACTTTAAACTTGACTTCAGTATTTTCATACCCATCCTCACTCTAAATGCATATGCAATATCTTAAAACATACATGCCGTAGGTACCTACTTGCTAACTAATAATTAATATTAAGTTGATCTACGTAGGTATATCTTCATAACTATAACCTACGATTACATCGTATATAATGCATAATGCATAAATATTATTATATAGGTACAATTTATAAAGTTATAACATTAATATGATTAATAAATTTAATAGCATCAATAACTATTTCCAATAAATTAAAACATTTATGTTTTAAGCAACAAGGTAATGTGAAATAAATATTATTAAATTAATATTTTAATGTTTTTAAATATTCTACCAACTACAGAACCTAACATGCTATAACATTAAAAGACACAAATTCACGACCGAGAAAATCATTCATATTATAATTTATAATTATACCTATTAATATAAATATACTTCGTACAACTGCCTTAAGCAATGAGCGTTTATAATTGGAAACTAGAAACCACGTGAAACGTAAATATACGTGTGCACATAAATCACGGGTATCAACGGCCTATGGGTCAATACCGAGCTACTGATGAACCAATTGAAAATTACTAGCTAACACTCGTAATTACCGATCTTATTTTTATTTCTTTTTATCTAGTCCTACCGCTTACACGATATCACGTATATTATATTGTATATAATTACTCTGTAGAGAACATACTGGATCAGTTGGTATGCTGGTACAAAAAGGAATCGTAACTCTACCTTCCAATAAAAAGTTAATTTTCGACATTTTGTACCTTTTTACTTTTTAAATGTATAATTTTTTCAGTTTTATCAAGGGATGAGAWAATTACACAGAGTTCAGTTTTTAGGAATGAGATGTTCTAAATGTTTGTACAAAATCGATTTTGTTTTTGATTAATTTAACTCGAACAATACATAATTTTAGAAACTCTAAATATATACTAAAATTTAAAATGCATATTAACATTTACAAGACATTATGCATTAAAAATAAATTTAAAAATACTTTTGATTTTTCTACACATATTATAAATATTTTTAATTTTCAAATTATTAGGTATCAATTACAGATGTTTAACGTTTAAATATATGRTAATATTTTTGCTATAATCTGTTTAAAGTTATAAAACTCATAACATTTTGCAAATTATTTTATAGGTAAAAAGAAAAACACATCAATAAATAAATTACTCCACTCTAAACTTAAAAAAATGATACAAGATTCTTTATAAGTTTTTAATAAGTACTGGAAGTTGAAAAAAAAAATGCCTTATCCCTTAAAAAATCATTGTATAAGAGAACAAAGTTTGCATTTTTAATATCTAATAAATGTTTTATTATGTTAAATAATAAATATATAATAAAATATCCTCAGAAATATAAGCACAGAGTAAAAGACCATTACAGGTCAGAATTGTATATCATATATTATTTGCAATGATATATCAAATTCAAATTAATTACAAAAATCTATACAATGGTAAGGTATACACTATACTGTACAGTGTACATATATTATACAACTAAAATAACTTTCTACTTTTTTTCTTATTTACTTAAGTTCCATTTTGTTTCCTTCGACAAAATTGTATTGGTGAATTTTATGAAAAATTTTAAAAAGGACTTTATACAGTATATAATAGCTAATATGTTTTTTACGTACCTACCTATATTACAATATTAATGGTATTTACTATTTATATTTTGTTGTTTGATAAAACATAAAACGCAATGAAAAAAATAAAACGAAAATGATTAATCGTATCAAGTTTTCGATTATACTAACAAGAYTTCCTTGACTTCTTTTCATAATAAATTTATATGTTTTGGATAAAACCGCACAGACGTAAAAAAATTGATTTTGGTCGTTCAATTTGAAACCATCATTTAAAAATATTTTTTATCATGCTCCAAGTACTCCATCCTGGCTAACCCCAATACCCTCGATTTAATCAAAATTCATTCCACAAACCGTTTCCTAACCTTAAATGCGTTGTACACTTCGGGTTGCTCTTGTTGCAATAACCCTTCAACCAAATGACCGAAAGCAGCTCTCCGGTCGGCGTCTTCGTCAAATGCCGGCGACCAAACGTATCGCATTGTTTCGTTGAGTCTGAGCAGTACGGCACACGCCTCAATACACCTTTAACACAAATTTTATGTAATACAATTTTACTAAAAAACCTATATAGGCAGGTGTACATCACAAACCCGTTTTCCGATCCACCCGACGCTATAAACAACGTACAAGTCATGCAATCGAATAGCTCTGGCGATCCTCGTCTTTCGACACGACTGTATAGTTGTTCGAGTTCCGAAGACGCCGCCGAATCTTCAGCCACCATCCCGACGCTCGACCCGTACCTGCAACAATATTAATATTTATAATAATAACTTATATGTCGAGAAAAAAAATTTCGTAACCGAGTAATATTATAACGTGTTTTTGTAACCTCAGCGCCAATCGTATTCCGATGACATCGAAGTCGGTTAGGTTTGATTTACGATCGAACGTGCTTAGGTCGAGTTGGCCGTTAAAACGGCGACGACCAACAGATGCTATTAAATCCATCGTTTCCGTTCCCTGCAGAAACGTGCCAATTATTACACATATCCATTTTGTTAAATYGTTTTTCTGACTTTTTTACATTTATTACCCYAACCATGGTTAACAACGTCATTTAATTATACATTTATTTAAATATGATTTTTAGAAACTTAAATTCTATATATTATATTATTTTGTTCTAATACTTGAAGCATTTTACTGGTATAATTTGGGTAAAATGGAGGTGAGCATGCTTAATGAATCACCTGTAATTATATTATACACTCACGGTTATCTGGTCGGAACGGATTATTATAGAGCGCACCCTCTGTAACCAAACTCCCCCGTGATTTTGACTATTATTTGCCAAAAACCCTGCCAGAGCGCCAGGGGTAGATTCGGTGGAGTACCGAGTGCCATCCGACAGCAGAGGGCGTTGTAATTTTGTCAAAAGTTCGGTTGTTTCGTCGACGAAAACTATTTCGTCTYCCGTACGGCTTTCGGCGGACAGTTTTAATAATGTTTCCTGTCAAAAACAAACAAAAAACCACCCTGAAATAAACATTTTATAATAACACACACAGYACAAGCCACGAGCGACCCTTCCCCGCGGTCGACGGTTGAAACGAAACTTTTAGGAGAGGTTACGCAACAAATTTAATATTGACTTTCTATTCGGCTTAAAATACACATTATAATATAATTCATGGTATATGTTCACTGTGCGCATTGCATACACAATCGCGTAACACTATTATTACGACTGGAGGGCAGAGATGATGATTATGATTAGTGATTGCCGAGCTGTCCAAACGGACCAAACTTTTAAACGGTACATTACCATAAACGCAGATGGGTCATGAGTTATACACATTGCATGAATAGCGTATCTATTGTTGTAGGCGTAATACTACAATATGTATGTTTATTTTTGTAATAATATTACTATCATCAACTGCAGCTGACAATGGCACGATAATTTATAAATATTACACATTATATACTTGATAGTTTAGTTTTAAGTCCGTATAAACACGTGAACTGAACGTGTGCGTGGCAGTTTGTACTAAACGCAGCCACAGTATCACGAGAACRTCCCTCGGAATGGGATATCCATCAAAGTTTTGAAGCAAAGCGTAGTAGAGTTCCGTGAGTGTCATTATTCCGGTCACTGCGGGGTCCGAACCATCGTCGCAGCAGTGGTCAAGTACAACGTTTAATCCTRTAAAAACACCAAATAACGAAATTAAAATTCTCACCAAAGGCACGAGCTACTACACTATGATATGATGTATGATATAACAGTGGTTCCCAAATTTTTACCCGATGTTGCCCACTGTTGGATAAAATTCAACMATGGTGCCTAAATATAAGTACCTACTATAAGAGAAAAATTGTTTAAAAAAAAATGAAATACTATATAATTACCCCATCAATTACCAATTTAAAGCTTGTTCGTCTTCGTTACTATAGGTAGTGCAAACGTGTGTATACGTATAATAATATGTTAAATGYATTTACGTTGCTTTTGGACAAATATTCCAAACCAATTTCGGAAAATCAGATAAATAGCCTTAAAAGAGTACAAATTATTCATTTATCAAATAATATTTTTAATCACAAAAAATTACCATCATAAAATTTAAATCGAAATCAACTAAAATAATTACATTAAATAGTTTTTTTTTCTTTCGTTTGGTACATGGTGTCCTTGAAATGGGAAACCGCTGATGTATAATAACAACAACAATAATAATAATAATGCTGACCTTCGATCGACGCGCAACAGGAATATGCGACGCGGACGATCGCGTCGAGTGACTTCCAGTCACCATCCGGTTCGAGAGAAACTTCCGTTCGGTGCAAATGGGTCGCTACAAATCTGCCAAGCGAACCGAACGCGTCCGCCTGACCCAGCCAGCGTCTGCCCGCGGTCGTGGAGCAGGCAACGCTCACCATCAACAGCTGTCGCGGATCTGACCAATCGAAGTCGTCCTGGCGCTTCGCCACGTCTCCTCGCTTCAACATGTCGTACGTGAACGTCCCCAGTGGCGTCCCACGCACATTWATCAAGAGTTGCCGACGACGGCCGAGATTAGGGTCACCGGCGACCGCGTTTTCCAGGAATGACATCCTCCTGGTAATCATTTGCCAGATCCCATCGTGACTACTGCCAGTCAGCGAGGCCGCGATCGCCGTCAAGGAATCAACGTCCGCACCGCCGACATCCTTCCAGCGCCTTTTCTCGAACAATCCGTCCAACCACCGTTGGCACGCTGGCAACGCGTCTGAACGCTCAGTGACCTTGGCCAGTATGCGTAAGCCGAAAGCGTTTTCCGCGATAGGGTCGAGCGTCTCAGGCTGGAAAGCAGCGATTGAGGCCACCAGCAGGCAGAGGCCGTTCGTCAACGTCGCAGGAGCGCTTCGGCGGTTGGCAGACAGGAATCCGAGACAGAGGTTCGATATACCGGCTACGTGGATCCGTAGCATCCTGGACACCTTGACCGGGAACATGGCCACTGTAACGCGGTATCTGAACATTTTGGCCAACAGGTAMATGGCATGCAGCGCACGGGCATACCGGACCACGGCCGCTATGTCCGCCATGTCCGACCGTCGAGGGATCTCGGGTTCGATGATCCACTCGTGGAAACCGGACACGACGGCCCGAAGGAGCCTCCGATCACCGTCAAGGCACTGAAAATATTAAGATCAGTTACTGTAGTATCACCAATCACACATTTTGCCATAAAAAATATCACGAAATTATCTGCTTTTCGCAAATGTACAATCAAAATTTCATGTTTTTTTTTTTTTTTATTATAGCACAGTGGTAACGCTACTGCCGTTATACAATTTGAAAGATTTAGTCTTAAACACTACTATCCACTATTTCAAAATTGTCTATAAACAAAAATTAATTCTCTCCAATCTACAGTTATTCCTCATGATTGATATTTAATATCAAAATATAATTACTATTTTACTAAAAATTATTAAAAATAAAATTGTACTTAATGATTTTAAATCATAATATTGGATAACCCGCTAAATAATAAATAACCATTTTAATATTAAAATAAAAATAAAAACCTAATAGAATGGTATCTACAATATATTACATAGTCCAAATTAAAATTTATGTCAAGACATTCTATATTATATTCAAGTTTATAAAATGTATGAACAATTGAACATACCTATACATAACTGCATTACTTATATATGTATATTCCACTTTAAATGACTATCAAATATTAAACCTAATATAATTTACTTTGAAAGTTTGAACCCGAGTTTTTTATATTATTCCATTCGGTATTATTATACTACCTATATAAAAATGTACAAAGAATTTACAATTATATCATCAAAGTGGATAGTTGTATCTTGTWTCATATAAACTAAATGTAATAAAAAAATATATTTTAAAAATGTTTAATATTTAACGGTAACTTTTTATATTTAAATAAATAACCTACCTACTTTTTTATTCTTTGAATCTTTAGTTCAGTTATTAATTTTTTATGAACTTAATTCCAAGAACTATCTGAAATATGCAAACAAGTAGGTATCATCTACATTCTACATATGTTTTAGTCTGGCCGTTTTAATCAATATAATCATCATACAGCTTAAGTTACATGAGAGAGATTTAATGTAATGATATTATAATAAATATATTATATGAATACATTAATACAATATTGAGCAAGCACAATAGCTTGTAGTACTCCACAATCTTTTATTTTTGCCTAATTCATTAATAGTCTTAATTATTTGTTGACATATCTTAAATTATTACTAACCCAACTAAGACAAGCTACTTTAATCTAATATTATGATGAACATAGCAATTTATTATGATTATACTAAATTAWTTAAAAGTTGGTCTAGTTRTAGTGCACATATAAAACAGTATTAATCGGTCAGCTTTTTTTATGCATACGTGTCACAAAAAAATCAAAAACTAAAATGCATTGCATTAAATATTCAATAATGGTCTTTAACCACTGACAGCGATCATATTATAATACTCGTATATATATATATATATATATAACTAATTAAAAACAACAGTATACTACAGCATGTGAAATGTAATTTTAATAACACAAGAACTATTTTTTTTAGTTTTTGTGACACTCCGATTAATTGTTTTGCACTTTTGCGTAGGTATACAACCACTAACCACATCAGCATTTCATAAAGTTAGGGGTTAAATCCATGCGTAGCATTTAAGCTTTAAATGTCAAAGCTTACCACTATGATATATTTTTAAATATAATTTTGTCGTTTTGTGTGAATTTTAACTACACTGCCAGCATAATATTAGTAAGAAATCAATGCCTTTGGAAACAAAAACATTTTCTTTTTATGACCTTTTCAAGTTTTAGTCCTGATTGAAATCTTTAAGCTTTATAAAATTAAATAATATTAATATTAATTAATTAATCTTGAAAAGCGCACGAATAGGCTGGGCTGGACATGTGTGGARATCAAAAGGACTAATCGGACAAATAACTACATGGAAACCAAACGCAAAGAGGCCCAGGGGACGTCCTAGACAGAGATGGGCAGATAGAATAAAAGAAGACCTAAAGATGCTGGGAGTAAGGAATGCTGAAGAAACGGCACAAAATAGAGAAGACTGGACTACTGGAGACAATATGTTGTTGCGGCAATGGGCCTAAAAGGCCTGTAAAAAGCCGAAGAAGAAGAAAGAATATTAATTAATATATMAAATGTTCGAAGTTACGATACACCAACACTACTATAAAGAAAACTTAAGCTTCCGCAGAATGGGTGATTGTATAAAATATTAATTTTGTTTTTAAACAATGATCACARCGCATAAGGCAATACTGTGCAATTTGTATGATGAAGATGTGTAATTGGTGAGGGTAGTTTACCTGGAAAAAGGCMGACCGGGACGAGTAGTACTTAGAAACGGTATTGAACCACGTGGCAGTGGGATCGGCACAGCACAGAACGGCGTACGGGCCACGACCACCGGGGTCGGCCGCGATGGTGGCCACGAATTCGACAACGGCCGGTTTGACGGCCCCGCGACAACCAGCGGCCCGCCTGCAGACCACGGACAAGCACCGGGCCGTCAACGATACGRCTGCCACTGTCTTGGCGAAGTCACGTCGCTGTCGTAACATGCACCGTGCATGCGTGGCCTCGCACAGTGAACTGAAACTTTCAGCTGCGCTCTCCGGGTCCGGTGCCATGTCCACAAGCTTAGCGTACACGCGGATCGCAAGGCCGAAGTGCACGTCTACCGACACTGCGCGGGACAGCCCGTCGGTCAGCCGCTGGAAGAATGAGCCCATGTAGGTGTCGTACGTGAACGGCAACCGGACGAGAGCGTTTAAGCTACGGGTGGTATCGCGTGCCAGCCGGCCCGGCCCGATGTCCACTAGMMCCGGCCACTGGTAGTCCACCAACCGGGCCGCCGATTCAGTGGCCAGCAGGGCGTCGCACATCGCCGCGTCCAGTGCCTGCTCAACGTCGTCGGCGTTCTGCTCCAATAGCCGGTCAGCGATTCGACGAGCAGCGGAGTCAGTGTCGTTGTTGTCGTCATCAACGCCGTCCACGTCAAACGACGACACGGACGAGCCGACAATCGACTCGGCCAACGTGTGCACATCGTTCAACACACCGCTGTCCAGCAGATACTCGTACAGCCGGCCATCCTGGTCGTCCACGTCCTCTACCTCCGTCACCGAATCGGKGCGCGTGTGATCCATCGCGGCCACGCAGAATTCCTGCTCAACTACGTCACTGCAGGTTTTAAGGAACAAAATTAATAATGTTTGATGAGTGTTTTTAACCTTCAGTAATGTTCGGTAGGTCGGTTTCTCTCTACAGGTCGACAATACGTTGTGATGTGTATACCCGTTACTAAGGGGACGCGACCCACAATCGATCGGATCAAAACAGTGGCACGCAGTGGGTACAGCTGTACATTATTTTGTTCGGGTTTACCGAGTTATYTATTACGGTAATATTTGCCGAGCGATTTGAAATCTATTTATAGTAATAATATGTGAACATTCGGAATGCACTGCACAATGTGATTTCAGCTTATCAGTTTTTAGTGCGATAAATTCACAACCCTAGCTGCAGTCGGAGTTATATTATACAGCAGGTGAATTTTTATAACGCCACTTGTACAAGCATCCTGCACCGTTTGGCTCGAAACAATATTTTCATTTTTTATACTAACAAATCGTTCGGTTACACCACTCTARTCTTGACATACATTTAAAATAATATCTACCAATACCGTCATCAATATAATACAATATGACTTTATGAATGATATTATGATTATTGTATCATTATCAYTTATCAGGTATCCTGTATGCTTGTTTTAATTTTTCTTCGAATACCACGTGGCTACAATAAATGCACATTAAAAATAATAATTAAATACATGCACCACAATTTGTATATAATTGGCATTTACATAATAATTTACGCACATGATATTACTGGTTGAAGCAGTTTTGTTTGACCCTTTCTAACCTCCGCTGCTGTTAAATCGTGTTGGATTTATATTTTTAGCTAATAAACAGTGTGTATAATATATAATAGTCATGTACTGGCGATTGTGCTGCAGGTATACTCATCAAATATATTTCGTAATATTAATATGTAGTGATTGTACATTTTAACAGTCGTTTCATACACTGAATCTTCAATTCTTAAAAATGTATGGGCACGTAATAAGYTATAATAATAAATATTAAGAGTTACGAAATTGAATCGGCAAGTTAATTCTCAATAACTTGATAGGTGTAATATATAATACGTCATTTTAGAAACACCAAATACAATTTTTCTATATTAAGTTATAATATAATTTATTTTATCAATAATTTTCTTCCAACTTAACAATGTACCTAGGTATATACAAAAAAATTTATGCATATAGAATTTAAAAAAAAAAATTGCTAATTTTTTTAAATGAATTTTGAGTGGTTCAAAGAAATTGTTTTAAATCTATATAACTGGATTAGAGCAACAATATCGTAAAAACCAATATATTATATTATGGTTTAATCATTTTTCATTGATTTTGTGGCTTTTGGTTTATTTTAGTTCGTAAAGTAAAATACGTCCGTGAAGTTGCCTTCCTCACTTTATCCTTAAAACACAAAAACCACTCAAAATTAATTATAAAATAGCTGTACAGTTTTTAAGTGTGTATACTGTATTAAGTGGGAGAAACTTCGTGTACGTATTTTCCTTAACTTAACGACTGCGTAAGAAATACCTATTACCTATGCATTAAAAAATAGTATTATGCCATAAGGAACGTCAATCTTACTTCAATTTAAACCCGTGTAATGATAATTTATAAATATAACTATCATGGATAGCTTAGTATTTTTTATTTCTGATAGTAGATTTTTTTACTCTCGAATGTTTTATAGTTTACAAGTTCAATTCAATTGACATGTAAAAAACTTGGCTGATAAATTTAGTAAAACTCAAGCATAAATCCTACGACCCGGATGTTTAACCCTTCGTTGGTTCGAAGTACGAACTGTATAATTTCTATTGAACATTCAAGAACATCAACTAATCATAATTATTACTTCAACATTAAATCGAAACTCATGAAATAATCTAAAATATAGTGAACATATAGTTACATATTAATATATTATATTAAATGTGCTATATATACATGGGCCCTCTATTTACATCATGTTTTTATCCGACATGTTTTAAATTATGTATATCTATTCAAAAGAATAGATTTTTTTTTATGTTTCCATGAACGGAGTTATAATGTCAAACAAAACAAACTTAATTAATAATTACAATCGCATGTTAATACMTRATATAATACCAATATTCATATACATATAGGACAAATATTTCATTAGGTAGTTCTCTTGATATGTAGTGGTATTTTGAAAAATATAAATGGTGCTTACAATATGAATATAATTTTGTTCAATTGAAACGAGCATTGATAATAGCCATAATTTCCTATTGAAATTTTCATATTGGTACTCAAATGGATGCACACATACAAATATGACATGGAAGGACACATTTTCAAAACGCCTCTTCGAGGTTGTAATAAAATATAAATAAAAACAAAAATAATAAAAATATGATTAAATTACAYAAWTTGAAAATCGTTGTRAAACAGTTCAGAAGTGTAGATGATAATGTATTAACATTTATACCATTCATCACGACCACTCTGAGTGACGTTCTGCTTACTTGAATAATTATTATAGAACGTTTCTATAATTTAGTAAATTGTAAACACCCRTGAAAAATAACTTCTAAGATTTATTTTTTAATATGATACTTATTACTTACATAGWAGTTAATATTACTTTTAAAAAAAACTGTATCTATACGATACGATATACTATTATTAGTTTACATTCACCCAAAAACGGACAAAAGGTTATTCCAATAATAATTTCATTTAAGTTTTGCTTACAAAAATTATAAACATAAGTCGAGAGAAATTTTACAAATATTTTATATGAGTGCCTTATACTGGCTATATTGTAATCATCATAAAAACAAACTGAGGCCAATAGGGCATACAAAATGAATAACACGAATAGGTACATGACGATGATAATATAGGTAATCAGTATTGGCAATACACTCGGACTTACCAGGGTCCAGAATATTTGAAATTGCATGTCTTATGGGAATTATGAACGATTAATTTCAATTTTGATAATTCGATTACCGTATTCCTATTACGATTTAGACTAATTACAATTTATTATTTAATGTACACGGCACGGSACTCKGTACCAATTACAATGTGAATATAGAAACGTGYGTAATTATACGTACAACGAATATATTTACGATGTTTAAAATTATCAACATTTAACGTTCCAGTAATTATTTTTGTTCGAAATAAAACCTCTAGGACTTTGATTTTACTCAAGTAAAATATTTATAATTTAAAGATTAAGTACTCCCGTTGTTAGTGTAAAGCGGTTTTTAATGATTACAATTACTTTTACATGCTTCCTTAGATTTTTTACATTACATAATATATAGGTTAGCGTTTACTAATTTCAAGGAGAAAATGTAAGCTTAATATTTTATAATTTTTAAATCTCAGCAGGGCACAAAGTTTTTCAATGTTTTTTTAATTGAAATACTTCGTTCATTTCTATTCTAAGAACTTTTTTTCATTCCTCAAATGCAYGACAARTAGAGAATAACATAATTGAAAGTTTAAAAAAAAAAATGTTATGTAATTAATTCCATATTGTAATACAATTTCAAATCAAAGTAAAATTCTACATTTCTACTTATTATAATATTATAGCAACAAAAAAGGAAAAGAAATTACGTGAATAAAATAAAATTTATTGAATAAAACAACATGAATTCATCGATTATTCCATTTGAAAATACCTTTTTAACGGTGCTCTTTCGACAAATAATATTTCTTATGGAAAGGGTTTTTTGAAGTCATAATGAAAAAAAAACCAAAATCATTTGAAATATCTAGATTTCAATCAATTATAAAAACTATATAGTTGCATAACAAAATCAAATTTTAATTAAATACAATTTTAAAAACTAATTTTACCACCATCATAAAAACAAAACAAACTTTAATTATATAACAGCGCTAAATTCTCAATACATTTTCAGTTATTTTTTAATGTTTAAATATATTATCTAGGACATAAGACATTATATGAGATAACGTCATGTTGAAGTTAATCTTGGCATGATTAAATGTCCTAAAACTACATTTTATTAACTAGACAAAAAAAAATAAAAATAGAGCTATAGATAAGTGACGTTTTCCTTAAGTAAATATCTATATAATCTAAAAAGCAGTAATATATTATTGCATTTAGAGAAATGATTCTAAAAAGGAGTCAATTTACTTCAATAGTATATGTATATCTACGTTTTTCAAATTTTAAGTGCTCATAAAACAATTTATGGGTGAAAATTTTTAATATTTTTATTGTATATGGTAATGACTAATATTATATATCATACAAGTAACCTTGTACAAAATTTAAAGCCATAACTATCATTTTTATTCCAAATTGAAATCCTTAAAAAGTTACTATGATAATTTCGTCGTAATTTGTGAAAGGAACACGTCATTGTGATTTAGTTAAAACTTCAAGCTTTAAAACTATATTTCTTTGAAATAAATAACTTAGAATTAGGATTTTTTTTTTTGTTATAATTTTAGTAATTATACTTGTAAGAAGTCAATTGTAATTTACACCTCAAGAATTACTATTTGTATTATTCTAAGAAAATATAACACGAATTTCCTCTCTATAAATACCATCTGTGATATACAGCTTCTAATCTATAAACGAGTCTACATTTTAGTGGTGAGAACTTTTTTACTAATATAACATGAAAATATAAATGCATCACCTACATATTTTATTCACTTAAAACCACGGAGGCTTTACTCTCACATAATTTAACATAGTTTTATGCGAATATTTTATGTTCTATTGTAAATTCTTACTATACCTCAATATAAACAATTTTTCATAATTATATTAGCACTACATTTATTTAACTCTTAAACTATAGTAAAAAATAAATTAAAATTAGAAATATTTTTACAGGTTTTAACTTAAAAAAATATAGATACATACGAGAGACGAGTATACATACTATAATTTATTGATGAAAAACTTAAAAAAGYTGATATATAAAATATGGCGAGAAGAAACAATACCAAAACAATGGTAGGTCTCAGTACTGTGCCCAATATATAAAAAGCGGGTAAGTGAATGTCGCTCTGCTGTACATTGCATTTGATGCATTCGATAAGCCTTGTATTGATAATTTACGA